GTCATCTGTAAACAGCCTGCCCTCTCTCACCAATGGGCAAATCCTCACATCCTTGTGCTAACTGAAACCCAGTAAAATTGATAAAGCAGTGGCTCTGAGTCCATGGTTTGATGATGGAAGAGGCCAAGTGTCAACTCTGCTATACAGTTTCCAGTTCCTGGCTCTCAGCCACTGGTTCCCTGCTGCATACTTTAAGGAACTACTTATGCCTGAGCAGTATTTTGTAGAGCCATGCTCCATGACGTTAGGAAACAGGTAAGAGTTAAGAAGTACCTTGCTAAACACACACATATAGGTAGATATAGACAGATATAAATATACACATTTTTTTAAAAAAAATGAAATCATTAGCTTGATCTGACCATTAGTGCAGTTCAGAGGGAAGGTGAATTGTGAAATTGCTCTGCAGAAACAGCCTAAGCCATTATTGCCTCTGCTATCTGTGTGTCCTCAGCCATAGTCATCATCTTTGTCCTCTTTTTTTTAATGTGATTTAGGTCACAACACATTTCTTACTTTGAATGTTTCAAATAAACCGAATATATCATTGAGGAAGTTACCAAGAGGGTCAAGGACAGTGACAGTGCAGTGTATAACTTTTACTGCAATAATTTCAGCATCCATGGACTCTTGAAAGTCCAAGAGATACATTTGAGGTATCCATGAGTGGTATCTAAAAAGCTAAAAGTATCACCAATAGTCTTAAACTTATTATCTTCCACATTTTAACCTGAATTGTTTTAGGAATATGCACAAATGTTAAATACCTTTGCACAGTAAAGCTTGTCTGAAACATACCATGTTTAATGTTTAAGTTCTTGTATTTTTCAGTACATGACAGAGTGAGAGCTAGGTAATCTGGCTAACATTTCAGTAGCAGTAATTGCACAGTTTTGGTTGTTAAGCTGCACTTAAAGTGTATGACCAAACAAAAAATGTGATTAAAATTTCGTTAAATCTTTTGGTATTAGTAATAATGTGCCAGCCAGGAAAGCATATTTTCTTTCTGGTAGAATTAGGGGAATCTCCATTGCTGACAGTTTCCTTTATTAAAGGAACAATTAAGCATTTTTAAGCTTTTTCTGTTACTTAAAAGAGTTAATTTAAAATAAATATATGAAAGAATGGTGTTGTATAAGTAGCTGATTTTTTTCCTCATGGAATTTTGCTAACTATATTTGCACTTTTAATTTTACTGATTTTCAGATGGACTGTAAAGAATCTATGTGGCATTTTTCACAAGCAGTTACTGAACATCTTAATGCTAAGTCCTACTGTGAGAGAAATCATTGTATATCTGGAGTGAGTCTGGTGGAGTCAGGGGAACAATTAGTGTCCAGGGAGTCTCGCCAGGGTGCAACCGAACTCATTTTGGCTCAACATTCATATGCATAGAATCACATGTAATCTCTGCTGTATAACTTCACATTTCCAGACCCTCCAAATTGAATTAATTTTAGTAACCTGATATAACTGGAAGATCTGGATCCTGAGAAAATAATTTGTGCTCTCTCTAAAACTGTTCGGTGAATTCAAGAGTTTCCCCAGATATAAAGTTTCTTCCTACCTTTCTTTTAAATGTTGACACACCGTGTCTGCAAGTTGTGTAATATCTCATGCAGGTGCTTTCTAAACAAGATTCACATTCATCCCATAAATTTCTCAAGGATACTTGACATTGTCTTTCTTCTTCCTCCAGTCTTTCCTTTACTTCATCCATAAGTCTCAAGGCTTGCTAGGTAAGAAGAAGATTCAGTTGACGGCGATTTTCAGATTAGTATTCTAAATGCTTATCTCATTATGAGTTGATCACTCATTTTGGCTATTTATGGCTCCTTTTTTTTGCTAATCCCTAGCCATTAGGGTAGGTTGTCTTCTCAGCTGCAGTCACATATGGAGGGAACTGAAAATTGAAAACCTTTTCCTTACGGGATTTTCCTGATAGTGTTCTCTCAGGGGCCACAGCAAACGATTCTCTACAGTCTACCAGTAGCTTTGTGGTTATGAAAAAAACCCACACATCTTTCTGTGTAAGAAGAATTAAACCTCCCACATTGTCACGTGCTCAACTCGTATCATTTTTTCTCCATATCATCTGAACAGTATTAATCTGTTCCACAAATAATCCTTTTTTGTTGCTTTGCAGTATTCTTCAAGGGATTTCATGAGGCTAGGTCCCTGCCATACATAAAGTCTCTCTCTAATGCACAGATGTATAAAAATAAACAAAAGTATAGCATTTCTGCTGTTTGGGAGTACACTAATAAAAAGACTGTAGTGAGAGGGGTTGTTCCTGCTCTTGTGGAAGTGTGAGGCACTCCTTCCATACTGAGGGGAAACAAGATGCATTTTACAATGCTGCTTCTATTTACTGGGTCCTTTATCAGGTAGAGCACAAAGCTGAGCAGATCAGAGGCAGCATTTTAGGACAGACTTGACAATGGAAAGACAGAAAAGTTCTTCCCATTGAAGTAGATTGCACATCATTAATTTCTCTCTGTAATTGCAACGCATTTCAATAGTTTAGGTTTCCAAACAATGTTTCAAGTTGTTTCTAAGTATGAAGAAACCTTTTAATTGGTCATTTTCCCCTTTTTTTTGGCAGAATATGTAGGGAAGATGCTCACAGAAAAGAAAACTTTTGTCAGAATGTGCTTGATGGAGACAGTAACTGCGGTCTTCATATTCTATGTTTAGTTATTTTCTGATCTTTCTAATACATTTATTCAGTGTTTTATGAATTCTCACTATGGATGTAAGTTCTGCGTAAATGAAATCATTCAGTTGGTTGTTGGAGTGCACTGGTATTTGTAAAGATGTTAGAAAACTATCAGGTACTTTTTGGCTTGCTAATACAAATAGTTTAAACTAACTACCAGATGTTGAGCCAAGGGGGAATTTTACTTGAACTTCATTGAAATCAATAGTTAGGATCTTTGTAATTTTTAAATTTTACAGTAATCTCTGTTTCTGCAGATCATCTGAGCATGTGGCTGTGAGTTTAAGCATTGCACTAGGACAGTGGAAATTTCCCTGAATCACTGTACTTTTTGTAAAGCACATTATCATTTATGGCTTTGATTTTTTCCTGAAGGACTGAAGTTTGGAAAGCAAGCTGGGAAACATCTTGTGGCCTCAGGTGTATAGAGACATGAAGGGCAAGGTTGCTGGACCTTCCACACAAAGTACTCTCAACACAGTTGCCAGCAGCTGCCTTGGTGTAAATTTAGTGAAGCAGGGGATTTTTAGAAATAAGCAGTAAGTGCAATTTTTATCTGCTAGTGAGACAAAGGTGCAGGAGCAGATTTTCTATCAATCCCATGACCACATAACGAGATGCATGCTGCTTGGAGTGCACATACAATATTGGCCTAACCACAACGGCATGCTGTACTACTTCCAGGAGGTAAACTAAATCCACATACTACCTGCCTCATCTTTGATTAAAAATTGCTGCAAGTTAACAAAACCAGAAACAGAATAAAAGAACCAGATGCCTTTCAGTTACCTGTTTTTCTTCACTGCTCTTCTTCAAGGTTTTCATGAGATCTACATGCTTGTCTTCATTTTTTTCCATCATAATTTTCATCTGCTTAATACCAATCAAAGCTTTCTTTACCTCTTCATCTACATACTTCTCTCCAACTTCAGATAATTCTAAAAAAAGCCAAATTATACAGTGACTTAATCAGATTTTAACACTATCGCAAGTTGTCATGCACTGATGATGAAGAATGAAACAGCTCTGTGTTTCC